AGCTAGACTAATAAAGAAGAAAAGAGAGAAGAATCAAATAGACACATTAAAAAAAGATAAAGGGGATATCACTGCTGACTCCATGGAAACACAAACTACCATCAGAAAATACCATGAACACCTCTATGCAAATAAACTAGAAAATCTAGTAGAAATGGATAAATTCCTGGACACATACACCCTCCCAAGACTAAATCAAGAAGTTGAGTCCCTGAATAGACCAATAACAAGTTTTGAAATTGAGGCAGTAATTAAAAGCCTACCAACCAAAAAAAGCCCAGGACCAGACAGATTCACAGCCGAATTCTACCAGAGGTACAAAGAGGAGATGGAACCATTCCTTTTGAAACTATTCCAAATACTAGAAAAAGAGGCACACCTCCCTGACTCATTTTATGAGGCCAGCATTATCCTAATACCAAAGCCTGGCAGAGACACAACAAAAAAATAAAACATCAGGCCAGTATCCCTGATAAGCATCGATGTGAAAATCCTCAATAAAATACTGGCAAACTGAATCCCACAGCACATCAAAAAGTTTATCCACTACAATCAAGTTGGCTTCATCCCTAGGATGCAAGGCTGGTTCAACATATGCAAATCAGTAAAAGTAATCCATTACATAAACAGAACCAATGATAAAAACCACATGATTATCTTAATAGATGCAGAAAAGGCCTTCAATACAATTCAACACTGCTTCATGCTAAAAACTCTCAATAAACTAGGTATTGATGGAACATATCTCAAAATAAAAAGAACTACTTATGACAAACCCACAACCAATATCATAATGAATGTGCAAAAGCTGGAAACATTCCCCTTGAAAACCAGCACAAGACAAGGATGCCCTCTCTCACCATTTCTATTCAACATAGTATTGGAAGTGCTGACCAGAGCAATCAAGCAAGAGAAGGAAATAAGGAGTATTCAAATAGGAAGAGAGGAAGTCAAATTGTCTTTGTTTGCAGATGACATGATCCTATATTTAGAATGCCCCATCATTTCAGCCCAAAACTCCTTAAGCTGATAAGCACCTTCAGCAAAGTCTCAGGATACAAAATCGGTGTGCAAAAATCACAAGCATTCCTATACACCAACAACAGACAAGCAGAGAGCCAAATCATGAATGAACTCCCATTCACAATTGGTACAAAGATAATAAAATACCTAAGAATACAACTTACAAGGGATTTGAAGGACCTCTTCAAGGAGAACTACAAACAACTGCTTCAAGGAAATAAGAGAGGACACAAACAAATGGAAAAGCATTCCATGCTCATGGATAGGAAGGATGAATATCATGAAAATGGCCATACTGCCCAAAGTAATTTACAGATTCAATGCTATTCCCATCAAATTACCATTGACATTCTTCACAGAATTAGAAAAAACTACATTAAATTGTATATTGTACCAAAAAAAGAAGCCAGTATAGCCAAGACAATCCTAAGCAAAAAGAACAAAATTGGAGGCATCACGCAACCTGACTTCAAACTATATTACAAGGCTACAGTAACCAAAACAGCATGGTACTGGTACCAAAACAGACATATAGATCAATGGAATAGAGCAGAGACCTCGGAAATAACACTGTACATTTACAACCATCTGATCTTCAACAAACCTGAGAAAAACAAGCAATGTGGAAAGGATTCCCTATTTAATAAATGGGGCTGGGAAAACCGGCTAGCCATATGCAGAAAACTGAAACTGGACTCCTTCCTTACACCTTATACAAAAATTAACTCAAGATGGATTAAAGACTTAAATGTAAAACCAAAACCATAAAAACCCTAGAAGAAAACCTAGGCAATACCATTCAGGCATAGGCATGGGCAAAGACTTCATGACGAAAATGCCAAAAGCAATTGCAACAAAAGCGAAAGTTGACAAATGGGATCTAATTAAACCAAAGAGATTCTGCACAGGAATAGAAACTATCATCAGAGTGAACAAGCAACCTACAGAATGGGAGAAAATTTTTGCAATCTACCCATCTGACAAAGATCTAGTATCCAGAATCTACAAGGAATGTAAACAAATTCACAAGAAAAAAAACAAACAACCCCATCAAAAAGTATGCAAAGGATTTGAACAGACACTTCTCAAAAGAAGACATTTATGTGGCCAACAAATATATGAAAAAAAAACTCAACATCACTGATCATTAGAGAAATGAAAATCAAACCCACAATGAGATACCACCTCATGCCAGTCAGAATGGTGATTATTAAAAAGTTAGGAAACAATAGATGCTGGTAAGGCTGTGGAGAAATAGGAATGCTTTTACATTCTTGGTGGGAATGTAAACTAGTTCAACGATTGTGGAAGACAATGTGGTGATTCCTTAAGGATCTAGAACCAGAGATACCATCATTACTGGGTATGTACCCAAAGGAATATTACTCATTCTACTATAAAGACACATGCACATGTATGTTTATTGCAACACTATTTACAATAGCAAAGACATGAAACCAACCTGAACGCACATCAGTGATAGACTGGACAAAGAAAATGTGGTACATATACACCATGCAATACTATGCAGCCATAAAAAAGAATGAGTTCATCTCCTTTGCAGGGTCGTGGGTGAAGCTGGAAACCATCATCCTCAGCAAACTAACACAGGGACAGAAAACCAAACACCACATGTTCTCACTCATAAGTGGGAGTTGAACAATGCGAACACATGGACACAGGGAGGGGAACAACACACACCGGGGCCAATCAGGGGGTGGGGGATGAGGGGAGGGAGAGCCTTAGGACAAATAGCTAATGCATGCAGGGCTTAAAATCTAGATGTTGGATTGATAGGTGCAGCAAACCCCCATGAAACACATACACCTACGTAACAAACCTACACATTCTGCACTTGTATCCCAGAACTTAAAGTAAAATAATAATAATGAAAAGATGTCACAGAGGACTCTGTTCCCTCCTCCTTCCAAAATGCTTCCAGCTCTACCTATGATCTTACTTGTTTTTTGAAAGCCAATTGTCCAGACTTGGTGGTTTTGCTTCTATTATCATTTGAGTTTTTCGTGAGCTACAGGGAGCAGGATTTGAGCCTTTTGGTGTTTCTACTCCTCTATGTTCTGCTGCCTAAAGAATAAATGTGTAGATTCAGAAGCAGTAATGACCAAACCTCTTGATAACAGCCACAGGGCTCATTTATTAAGCACCTGCTACATACCAGGCTCTGTGCTTGCATTCACCCTCCCTCATCTTACCAGTGTGGGATTTTTATCCACTTTTGGCCCTTTGCCAGCTGGGGTCCCCTCAGACCTTGGTCCTATAAGGGACTCACACGAGGACCCCCTCAAGGCAATGAAGGGAGGATTAAAGAGCTGAGAGGTACAGAGGGAACAGCCAGCTCCTGAGAAGCCTTCAACAAATGGGAAATGATTGCAGACTCTCAGCCCTCTAGGGATGCCCAATGCTGCTGGTGTCTTAATGACTTGACTTCTTCAAGTGACACCCTTCATACTGTGCCCATAAACTGTTTGCATGTGGTTGGGAGCAAGTTAATATTTACAAATGCAAGTATGCCTAACACATGTTTCCTGGTGACTGCTATAGGAGGTGAAGGGTAATAATTAGCAATCTGGAGACACGTTTAGGACTCATCTACAGGGAGAAACTACCCTCATTTTTCTGATTCTCCAGTTTGTGTGCTTTCAGGACCCAGGATAGATTTCTGCCTGTTGGGGTGGCCTGGATCTTTGTCTCTTGTAATGGATTAACGATGAAGAAATCAACCACCTTTGGCTTTCTTAGTACTCAGTGATCATTGTTTTTGACCCCAAACTGGCCCAACTGAAGACCTAGATTCCAAGAAACCTTCCCTCTTTTCAAATTTGGGACTTGTCACAGATTAGACCCGCTAACTAAAAAAAATAATGATTGATAGGAAGGCCAAAGGAAATAGCATTTATTTGTGAATTAAAGAGTTGCAATTTGGGAACCCTGAGTCATGGCAGCCCTGAATAGTGGCCCATAGGGCAATGCAGGAAAGGCTTTTTACAGGGGACTTTCATAAAAGGTTGTTTTTGAAAACAGTTCATTGGCTGGCAGAAATGCTAAACTGCAAACTCGTATTCTTTGGTTACTTAATTAGGACACTCCAGGATGAGAGTGATCAAAATCCCATGTACCTTGACTTCAGTGCGTTGTTATCCAGGTCTACAGCAACATCCTGTGGCTTGACCTTCAGCAGGTGTGAGTGCAATGCTCTTACAAACGCTTGACTCCATGTTAAAGTTTTAGCCTTAACTACTTCATTTTCTTTCAAAAACTCTACTGGAATATTATGAAAAGAATGAGAAATATGAAATAAATTCATAAATACACAAAGAGACAGCTCTGGGTGTATATAAAGTCTGGGTTAAAGACAGATCTGTGTTTATTTTTATGAAGCATCTTCTGACTGATCAAAAGCAAAACTTCTTCCATTGCCTCATTTAATCCTTGTTGCACCCCTGGGAAGGAAAAATGCTGCTGTCCCATTTTGCAGATGAGGAGCTGGGTATGCCAGGCCACCCCTCTCATGGGCTGAACAGCCTGGTTGCAGTTCTCACGGTGGTGCCACTTTGCCATTGTTCCTTACTTTGACTTCTGTAAACACCCTCTCTGAGGTTGGTGAGCTCTCCGGGGGAAACAGGGTAGGACCAGTTAATACACAAAGGGAGACCAATCAGTAACTTTGTTGCTGTGCCCAGGTTGGTGGAAGTCACCCTGTGTGGAGAGGAAGACTTTGAACTCAGGCCTGGACCTCCCTCTGGGACCTTCCCCTACACTGTCTGACCTGGGGCTGGTCCTCACCTCTTCCAACCTTTGTACCCTGCTATGTAAAATGAGAATAAGAACACCATCCTCTCCACATTATTAGAAGAATTAAAATTAACGTATCTGAAGGTTCTTAACAGTGTCACACACTCATTATTAGTGATCATCATCTCAGTCATGTCTCTTGTTTATCGATGCTCCTTTTGTAGCCAAACCCTCTGCCCCTGTGGTATCGGGCCCTGCGGCGAGGGCCACACCTGAGCACACAGTGAGCTTCACCTGCAAGTCCCACGGCTTCTCCCCCAGAGACATCACCCTGAAATGGTTCAAAAATGGGAACGAGCTCTCAGACTTCCAGACCAACGTGGACCCCGCAGGACAGAGTGTGTCCTACAGCATCCGCAGCACAGCCAGGGTGGTTCTGGCCCCCTGGGACGTTCGCTCTCAGGTCATGTGTGAGGTGGCCCACGTCACCTTGCAGGGGGACCCTCTTCGTGGGACTGCAAACTTGTCTGAGGCCATCCGAGGTAGAGGACCCTCACACCCAGCCCAAGCCCACATCTGGCTGCCATACCCACTCCCCTCTCCCCAGGTTATTGCTCCAGAGCTTGAATGGCCTGGAATCTAATCCCTGACGATGCTGCCCACCTTCCATGCACCTAGGTGTGCTGGTCACTTACTACCATTTTATTGGCAGCAGTCATGGGACCAAGGGGACCAGTGACTTTGGCACATGGTCATGTGCCAAGCTCTCCACTAGAGAGCTTCATTTTTCTCACCAAGAACAACTACTATTAGTGAGCACCTACTATGAGCCAAGCTCCTACGTCTTTGGTGGTTGCACTGATTTTGTTACAGTTATGACATTCCAACTGCATGCCAGGGGTTGTACTTGTAGATTTCACTCAATCTTACCCTAGTAGGAGCTATCAGTTCTATGGCACCTACTGTGTGCCAGGCATTGTGCTTTGTAATTTCACTCATATGCAAAGAGCACCCTCAATGTCTGAGCACGTGCTGCCTGCCTAGCACTGTCCTGGTGACGCCCTCACCGTGGTGGTGGGAGCTAAGTTATGGAGCCCTCTCTGTGATCTGTCTGTGCCACAAGGTCAGAGCTTCTGCCCTGTCCTGTTTCAGTTCCACCCACCTTGGAGGTTACTCAACAGCCCATGAGGGCAGGGAACCAGGTAAACATCACCTACCAGGTGAGGAATTTCTACCCCCAGAATCTACAGTTGACCTGGCTGGAGAATGGAAACGTGTGCCGGACAGAAACGGCCTCGACCCTTACAGAGAACAAGGATGGTACCTACAACTGGACAAGCTGGCTCCTGGTGGACACATCTGACCAAAGGGATGATGTGGTCCTCACTTGCCAGGTGAAGCATGATGGACAGCTGGCGGTCAACAAAAGCCTTGTCCTGGAGGTCTCAGCCCACCAGAAGGACCAGAGCTCAGATGCCACCCATGGTGAGGTTATTCAAAATTTTTAAATTTTGTCTCTTTCTTTCATGTTAAAAGTAATATCCATGCTTGTTATAAAATAAGCTAGAAGTCTATAAATACAGAGTAAAATTTTAATGTCAGCTCCATCCCCCCAAATCCCACATACCAAGAGTCACCACTAGTAAGAATTTGATGCACAAGTTAATAGAACTTTTGACATAAATATATATTTAAGAAGCAAAGAGGGAGGCAGGGGGAATCATCTTTTCATAGAGTCCTTTGCCTTCCCTTATTCCTTGAGAGTTGTTACGCCCCTGTTTCTCATCAGACCACCCTCGTGCTCCCTACTTTTTGTAACTTCTGCTTTGTTTCTGTTTCATCCTAAACTTTTCCATCCACATTTATGACCTCATCCCAGTACACCCTGACATCTACTGTGTATGTTTCAGAAAGACAAATGTAGTTTAAAACAGTACCAGGCCTGCAGGTGACCATGAATGGTCACAGAACAGACCTCTTCTGTGTCCTGATGGTGATATTTGAGCAACAATAATTACAACCTCCTCTGCAAATTTACTAAGTGCAAATTTCCATTCATCTATGATCTCTGTTTTTGCTTCAATCACCCGGTGAGTCTGGAGTTTTAAAGAAGGGGAAACCAGGACTTGGGAAGTCATGGGGGATGTTGTTGAAGACCTCTTGCCTTTAGCTCAGGTGATTGGTTCAAACTAATTAAAGTAAATCTGGGTCCCTGAGGACAAGGTCAATATCAGCCTAAAATGCAAATTTGTGCTAGTTAGAGACACATTCCTCTTCTGCTGGGCATTATCCCATGGACCTGAAGTTGGCCTGTATTCCCCTCTCTATGACCAAAATATGTCTTACTTCCCTCTTACGTAGTACCAGGAGGGGTCTTAACTCCACGAGACTTTTAAGAGGCCCAGGTTCCTCCCACATACCTTATGGTGTAGTCTTATCTGCTGGGTCAGTGCTAAGTCATAGATTTGTCCATGTCCCTGCCTGCTGGAAGAGTAAATATAGGAAATGGAGGGCAAACAATGTCTTCTATAATCAGAGATGTATGGAAGGTGTGTGATCACGTCCACAGCTAACTCAGTCATGCGTGTACACTCAGTTGCAAATGGAATCCATAGTTGGGTGATCTTATGACTAAAGACAGGTTTATCATTATTATAGTTATATATATAATATATATAATATTATAATATATAATATATTATGTTATTTCAAATTTTTAATCACTGAATTTCATAAAATTATTAAAACAATTCCCTCATATCATCTAAAATGGAGTATACATGCAAATTTTCCTCAAATTCCTATTATGACTATTTTTCTGTGCACTAAATTTGGATTTAATTCATCTTTAAATGCTTTGCAGTATTTTTCTCTGAAACACTTGGGTCTCAAGAATTTTGAGGGGTGTTTTAAAATGATGAATTCAATTTCCTCAATAGTTTAGGGTTACTCATATTACTCATTTCGTATTGGGTGAGTTCTGGTAAGTGGTGCTTTTTGAAGAAGTTTGTGTCCATTTTATCTAAGTTGTCATATTTTTGTGTGTAGAATTGTTCATAATATCTCCTTATTATCTTTTTGGTGTCTGAATGGTCTATGGTGATATCCCCTGTTTCAACCTGATATTGAAAATATGCCATTTCTGTTTTCTTCTTCATCAGCCTTGCTATAGTTTTTTTTTCCCCCATTTTATTGATCTTTTCAAAGGACCACTTTTTTTCAGTGAGTTTTTAAAATTGTTTTTCTGTTTTCAGTTTATTAATTTTTTGCACTCTTCTTTGTATTAATTCCTGTCTCCTGCTTGCTTTGAGTTCATTTTGTTCTACTTTTTCTAGTTTCTTGAAGTGGTGATTTAATTGACTTGAGGCTTTTGCTCTTTTCTATGTTGTTCCTTTGCCTCTGTTTATGGCTGGGCTGATATTGGGGGGTGGGTTCCAGGTGCCTGGCTGCAGGGCTGTCCCTCTGTCCTGAGGCCCCTAGTCAGTCTCCCTTCTTCCTCTCCCACCTTGGAATTTCTCCTATTCCTGTTCCTTGTGATGTTTCTAAGGTTCATAGTTTTACTTCTCAGGGAGGTAAAATTGCACCCTCAAGACTGGATTGCATTTGCTTTTTAGTTATTCATCCACACTGGCTTGGACCAGGACCAGGGCTGCCATTTTTGGGTGCCTTCGGTTTGCCAGATGTAGCATCTTTGCTCAGGTACTAAGGCTGGAAATGCATTTTAAGTTGTCTAGGCTGGCAGGTAAAGTGCAAGATGCCTTGTGATTACATAAGTGCTGCACCATTGGTGTGGGAGCCTGGTGACAGACTGTGCACTAGGGTTAGGTGAGTGTTTTGACTCACAGTCATTTTGCAGTTTGGCCTTCTATCTTCAGGTAATACTGAGAACAGGGCTGTGCAGAACTTACTATTTTGTTTTCATTTTTTATTTTGATTTGGGGAGGATATTTTGTAGAAATAAGTAGCTATGCTGCTGCAATTGTACCTGGCAGCTCCTACATCAACTGAAGATCTTTAAGTGGTTTGACCCAAATGTCCATTCCCACATCTCAGGGTCCCACAACTTCCCCATTAGGACCCTACCCCAGCATAGCAACCGTTGAAGCTGAGATTCATCCTCCTCTGTGATTCTGCTACTCTTTTAATGATGTCCAGAACCCAACCCTCTGTTCTTTCTGCCATGTAGTCACAAGAGATAAGAAAGTACAGTGCTGCCAAGAAGTCCTCTTGCTTTCACAGTGAACCTTAACTCATAATCAATCACTCTTAGCTTCTCAGCATCTTTCCCCCCAAAAATTGATGCCCAGTGATAGCCATCGAACAACTTAGTCCTTATAACTACCATTTCCCAATCTGTTTCAAAAGCCTGATGCCAAGGAATTTCCTGCCTGTGGTTACACCATCCCAGTTTACTGCCAGTGAAAGTTTTATCAACTGCATCACAGCCACAAGCCATGGTGCCTAGCCCCACTCACTGGCAGCCCTGGGGTCCTCATTACGAGCTGATGAGTATACAGGTTTCAAACTTATATTTTAGAGTCTGTTTTCCAGACCACTTACCAAGGTCAGTTTCTCTGTAAGGCAGACTAGAGATGGATACAGGAATGCAGGAAGCTTCCTGAAGAGCTGTAGGGTCAACATGCCTCAGGAAATGGGGAGGCAGGACTGTAGGGGGAGGCAGGACTGTAGGAGGAGGGAGGTGCTGAGCTACAGTGCAAGTAGGACAAAGACCCAGCTGCTCCTGGGGAGATCAAAGAGCTGAGAGGGTTTTTAATTGAGGAGAGAGGCATGGCCCTCCTATTTTCAATTCAGCCAATCTTTCTTGTGGGCTGTCCCTTAGAAGAAGAAGTGAACTTGGGCAGTGCAGCTCTCAAGGGAGAAGTCCCAGAGAGCCACCCAGCCGAGAACTGCTGGCCTCTAACACTCCAGCAGCCAAAGATGAGATGCTGAGATTTCCATTTCTTCCTTAAGGACCCACCAGCACCATTTTATTTATTTAAAATACACTGTAATATCTTTAATGGCCCAAACTGCTCGTGTTAAAAATGTTGATTTTAAAAGCCCGAACTGCTCTTGTTAAAAATGTTTATTTTAAAGCCCGAACTGCTCATGTTAAAAATGCAGAGTCCAAACATGTGCTTCCCCGTAACTGAGTGTGCCCAACTAACAGAAAGATTTCAGATGACACCTGCACTGGAGTTGAGGTGGCCTAGGTGACGTCTGAGGCCCTCCCAAGCACGAGACCCATTTCCATGACTCACCAGGGTGTTTTCTAGCCAGATGGTTTCATTATGTCTAGTGCTCCATGGCTCCTCCAGGTTCTGAGAACACAGAGTCCTCCCCTTACTTCTGGGGCTAAACAGGGAACCTGCCACTCTCATTGTGAAGCCATCCTCAAGCCACCTGCCTACGCTTTTGCAGTCATTAAAATTTCCCTGGGGTGTTGGACTTGTTTTGTTCCAAAGGATACGGTCTCATGGATCATCCTAAGGAACACTAGTGATGAGCTTCTTTAGGTTTGAATGCAAGTAACCTTGTGACCCTCCCTAAAATCCATGGGCCTCAGTTTCCCTATCAGAACAGAATGATAATCCCTGCTCCCACAGGCTTGTGAGGGTCAAGTAAGGAACCCAGTTGCCACATGTATGAATACCTGAGTACACGCTCCCTCCACCTCTTCCCTGCAGGAGAATAAGCTGGCAACCCGGGACAGGATGAGTGAGAATGGGGAGCCTCTTTCTGTGGCTTCTGCCTTGTGCTGGAGTGAGGATAGCCAGGGCAGGATGCAAGTTCAAAGGTGGGGCATAGATGGGCCCAGGCAGCCTCAGATGGAGGCGGAGGCCCCTACAAGGGCCTCCCAAGTGGCCTCTCTCATAGCTCCTCCTCTTCCCTGATTTCCAGGCCCGGCATCATCTCTTACTGTGCTGCTCCTCATAGCTGTCCTCCTGGGCCCCATCTACGTCCCCTGGAAGCAGAAGACCTGACTGTAAGTACAAGGAAGGGAGGACCGACCAAGGGCTATTCCAGAAGGGCAAGGCCAACAGGGAGGCCCAGCCCACATGCCATGCAGCATCAGGGTCCATGGAGCTAAGCTCCCTCCGCACCCTGGGAAGTCTTGGGGAACCCTCTAAGAGGCTCCCAACCCCCAGAAATTATGTGGATGGTATACGATGTGGGATGCTTGAAACGTGTTCAAAGGTGTCCACAGTGCCCTGGGAGTTTCATGGAGGCAGTGATGGGTCGGTGGGTCCTTCCAGGCTATCTGTAGATTATTTGAATGCTGGGACTTGATGGGGTCAGAGGAATCCACATTGTAGACCAATATTGAGAAGCCCAGATGAGAAGCTCTGAAGGCTATTTGTGCTCTGACCCTCTGGGTGTCTGAGTGGAAGGAATATGGGAAAGGGCATCAGGACTCGGCAGGATGGCTGAGCACACAGAGTTCTATCTCAGGTCTGCCTGTCCACCAGTGACAGGCATTACAGGAGACCAGCCCCAGGAACGTAACAGACTCTCAGGAAACATTTCTTGAATGATGAGCAGATGACTAAATGTGGATGTGTTTTCCCACAGCTCCTTCCTTCCTCCCCTGCCACGTGGGACCCTCATCTCTGCTGCCTCCTTCCTTTCTTGAGAGGCTCAGCTTGAGAGAATGAGTCAGTGAGACGCTTCTCTAGACTTGGCTCCAAACGCCTCCCCTCCCAAGACATCTGCCTGCCCACAGGCTCCTGTTGCTCCTTCACACAGACCTTGATGCCCCAGACCAGGGTCTTCATTCATGGTCCTGAGCAGGGGCCAAGGGACTGGGCTCTGGGCACTGACTTATGACACCTCCCTAGAATGTGAGAAACACGCCATGTCTAAACACACCAGGACTCCTCCCATCCATCGCCTTGGGACTGGCCATAAACCACAGACTCTCTCCAGGCTTTCAAGAGTTATCCTGTCTTCCAGATTCCTGCCTACCCCAACTCCCCAGCCTTGTTGAGGTTCTCTATCGCCTCTTGAATACAAATGCACTCCCAAAGTGGTTTTAAGAAAATAAAAAGATTCTCCTTCCTCTTTGTCTAAGGGTCCTACTCCTCACACTCAGAAACAAAGAATCTCTCCCTGCTCTCTCTGTGATGGGAACACTAGTTCTAGCATCCTGCAGGCTTCCCAGCCCTGCTGCTCATGGCGGAAATGCTGCCACAGTCCAAAAGCCTCCTTGACTCCTGGAGTCCTCCTTGATGTCTCTTTACACCCCATATTCAATTCTGCCTTCAAAATACTTATGATCACTCATGAGACGGTAAGTGTTTAAAAACGGACTCTCTTAAATGAAAAAAAAAAAAAACTGATTTGTTGTGCTTGACAATTTCTGTGGTGTAATCACCCCCAACATGGCCAGTTTCAAGCTACTAGAAGTTTCACAACTGGATTGCAAAATTCCTGAAATTTAACGGTTGGCTTTCAGGGGTCAGTCCAAGCTTGCTGTAGGACAACACTGAGTTCCATCCCTAACCTGAATACTTCTCACCTCCACCACCCCTCCCTGTCCTGGTCAGCATCATCTCTTCTGGGAACACTGCTGTAGCCTCTGTTGGCTTTCATTTTTCAGCTACAGTGATTTTTGGAAAAGCCAAATTGTTGCTTCTTCCCCAACACAGCTGCATGACTCCCTTCATCCCTCCTTCAAGCCTCTGCTTAAGGTCACTTTATTAAAGGCACCTTTTGCAAACCACCCTGTACATAGTATCAGTTCTCCCGTCTACCCCGACATTTTAATTTCTCTTATCCTGATTAATTTTTATTTAGCGTTTATTACCATAAGCATTATACCGAATACAGGCAGCCCCATGGATCAGGGCTGTCCAATGAGGAAGGGCCAAGGGAACCCTGGCATGAAGGGAGTGCCTCTGGGACAGAGAGCAGGCCCAGGGCAGTCAAACTGTCTCCACTACTGTCCAAGGTTCCCAGGCGTGGGAACCCCAAAGTGGATATCAGCAACTTCCCAGGGGTGGCAACTGTGCCTGCTTCCTCTTTTACTATGAGACTGTGCCAGTCTCGTGGCCTTTTCCTTCCACGGCAAATTCCCTCCTCAGATGTCATGGCAGGTGGGGCTTCTCCTTTCCTGCAGGGCTTAGAGGCTGGGGTCTCCCCATGATAAACCTTTGAACACAGCAGGCAATGGCCATAGCTGTCTTCCAGCCCACCTGCACAACCCTTGCCTCTTTATGCTATTGGGACTCACAGGTGAGTGCAGCCTGTTCTACAAAGGTGTATTTATATGTAATGTCTCCTCACCCTCTCAGCCCATCTCACCCGTTTTTATAGATTTCCATTTGGGAACATTTTCTTCTCTCCCATCCCAGCAGGAGACAAGATTTGGAGCACCTTTTCCATGAGCATCTGTGCAGACTCTTACTAGGATGTGCCTTTCCCTAGTCATAGTGATTTTCTGAGGCCATGCTTGTACCATAACCCTGGTGCTAGTAATGACTTCGTGATTATAGGACTGGACACATGACCCACACTCATCATGTGGTGGTACCTGCATACCCCCCAGCCATTGGTCAGGGTTGTTGCAACTGCATCATAAATCCTCTAGGACAGAGAGTCTGTTTTTTAAAGGTATTACCAAAACACCACCTAATAACTATGACATCTAACTTTTGGAGGACAGTCAGCAATTATTAAGGAATTTGCATATGTTAATCCATTTTATCACCATAGGAAACCTCTGAAGTTGATATGATTATTATTTCCATTTTATATTTGAGAGAACTCAAGAAGCAGAGATGTTAAACAGGTTCCCTTAGGTCACACAGCTAGAACTGATAGAACTAAATTCAAACCTAGAAGTTCTGATTCCTAAGCCCACAAGCTTAACCTTTGCTCTTCTCAAACATCCAACGACTCGTCACTTGTCCCACAGCCTTATCTCATTATCTGCACCTTGTGTCATGACTGCAGGGCTAAACTTGACAGAAAGAGAATTTTAGTTTATGGTTCCCCAGGCTCCTGGTTTTCTCAAAAATTCAGGCTGTATCTGTACTGCACAAAGTCAACCTAAATTTGAAATTGAATTCTCCACATGATTTCCACAACATTTTTCACTCAAATTGTATCCATGCATCTAATAGATCTTCAGTGAAGGATTGGAGTTCACAGGAAGTCATCTTCCTGCTTTAAGTAGAGATTCTGCCAAAGTATGGAAACTATTCTATCAATATTTGAGTCATATATTTCAAATGATAATTTTTGAAGGCATAATATTTTGTGACTCATCTTTCAGGTTAGTTGTTACTTTCATAAAAGGAAACATTTCTCTTTCAACCATTTGTGCTTTTTACCTTAAACTATACTTCTTAAGATAGTATTTCTATTGCAACATTTTCAAACTATTTTGTGTTATAGCTTTTGCCATTGCTATATTTATACCTCTTGTCATTAGTTTGTTTTTTAAAATTTTTTATTATACTTTAAGTTCTAGGGTACATGTGCACAACGTGCAGGTTTGTTACATATGTATACATGTGCCATGTTGGTGTGCTGCACCCATTAACTCGTCATTAGGTATATCTCCTAATACTATCCCTCTCCCCTCCCCCTACCCCATGACAGGCCCTGGTGTGTGATGTTCCCCTTCCTGTGTCCAATTGTTCTCATTGTTCAATTCCCACCTATAAGTGAGAACATGCAGTGTTTGGTTTTCTGTTCTTGCGATAGTTTGCTGAGAATGATGGTTTCCAGTTGTATCCATATCCCTACAAAGGGCATGAACTCATCCTTTTTTATGGTTGCATAGTATTCCATGGTGTATATGTGCCACATTTTCTTAATCCAATCTGTCATTGATGGACATTTGGGTTGGTTCCAAGTCTTTGCAATTGTAATTAGTGCCGCAATAAACATACGTGTGCATGTGTCTTTATAGCAGTATGATTTATAATCCTTTTGGTATATACCCAGTAATGGGATGGCTGGGTCAAATGGTATTTCTAGTTCTAGATCCTTGAGGAATCGCCACACTGTTTTCCACAATGGCTGAACTAGTTTACAGTCCCACCAACAGTGTAAAAGTGTTCCTATTTCTCCACATCCTCTCCAGCACCTGTTGTTTCCTGACTTCTTAATGATCACCATTCTCTCCCTTCAAAGGAACACAGCTCCTTGCCAGCAATGGAACAAAGCTGGACGGAGAATGACTTTGACGTGCTGAGAGAAGAAGGTTCCAGATGATCAAACTTCTCCGAGCTAAAGGAGGAAGTTTGAACTGTTAAAAGTGAAGGCCATGGAGTGTGACAACCTGTGTTCTAGTTCTAAAAGCTGGGTGATGTTGAACAAATTTATTATTGCCTGCGTGCCTCAAGTTTCCTCACCTGTAAAAAAAGGTTAATGGTAGTGCTAATTTCCTGGGGCCAGACTGATGAATTAATAAGGTAACTGACATAAAATGCTTGGCACAGTCTCTGGAGCACAGGACATCTACAATAAACACAGCAGCTACTACCCTTCATGTCATCTAGAGACTAGTTTCTTGTTTTAAAGTGTAATTTGGCATCGATTAACATGATTCTATCATTTTTATGTTCATTTCTGTGACTGTGGAGAAGGAGGTGATTATTTCACCCATTGTGCATCTGCCACATTGAAACAGAAATTTGGGTGGAAATGTGATGACTTTTACGATTTCATTTGACAATTACTCATGATAGGTGAAGGATTACAAGCTCAGCATGGGAAAGAGAGGTTTCCAGACAGGTCTTTCTTAGTCATAGATGATGCAGGAGAAACCATTTCTCCTACCAAGGAAGTTTTTCTGAAGCACAAGCATATCAGGAAAGCAGTGTACTCTTCCTGTACACAAATGTAATTATAGCCACAATTTTTTGGTTATAATTAAATATGAATCAAGCCTTCTGTATGGTTTATATTACTCTTACCACATCACTACAAAGTGCATGTTATAACTTCCATTTACATGTAATTAAGTTAGGGCTTAGAGAAGTCAAGTGTCTTGCTGAAAGTCACGCAGCCGGAGATTGTAAGAAAAGGAATTCATCTACCGATTGACAAAAAGCAGGGTGAAGAGGATCCAGAGGGAGTGATTGATCTCAGAGTGTCAGAGGTAGACCAAGTATACCATATAAGCTGGGTCCCAGAAGTCCTGGGAAGCTGAGAGAAGGCCACTAGTGGGAAACTCAGCATGCAGGAGGAATGCATTTAAAAGCAATATTTGAGTTCCCTCTTCACCTGGCACCATGCGTATCAATAATAACCTACTGAATCTCAGGGATGTATAGTCATTATCTCTTTTGATGTTCACCAGAACATGGCAGTGATACTTATTATCCCAAGGTTAGAAGGCAAAACTGAACCTAGGTAGGCCCAGTAACTTCCCCAACTCCTTAACACATCTTCTTAGCCAGGGTACTTATTCTCCCGCCCTCCTCAGTTCCCATCTGAACACAGTGATGAATGGAATAGGAGTTCTGTGTGCAGAGCAAAGAGTATTGAAATTGATGTGACTGCCCCAGGAATCTGCCCTCCATATTCTCCCCCATAATAAGCTTATACCCTCTCCATAACCCATAATCCCCACCTCACCCCACAAAACAGATCCTTATTACCCTAAGCCCACTTCCTCTCCTGGAAGAAGTCAGGAAGTAATTCCTTCTTCTGGATGCAGGCACATGAAAGTGCTAAGGTCCACATGAAACTAAACTGGGGCAAAGTTTTGCCAGTTATATTGATAAACGTTTGGAGTAGGGAACCATTTCAAGAGCAGACCTTATTCCTCTCCAACATTGAGCAGGTCCTGTCATCCCTCCTCCTGTCCCCAAATGAGTAGCATGTGGTTGAGGCTGGTGCAGAGTGAGACCACAAGCCAACCACATCCTGGGGTCTTGAGATGGAGAGTTTAGGTAACATTTCATAACCACAGGTCCTTCTTAGCTGAAGAGCACCAAATGGCAAATCACCAAGAAGACATAAAGATGGGGTGAGGAGCCATGTGGAAGGAAATCAGACCCCAAGTGGGAAGGAGGCATTATCTCTGCTAAGCCTGTCTGATTCTCCTGAAATGGAGCGTGAATAACTGCTTGCATTGTAGCTGCTTGCTGTGCCTTTTTTCTATTTCACAACCGAGAAGCAGGTTACTGCCTCACTCCATCACAGCCACTTCCTCTTGAACCAAGGGAGGCAAGGCTTGTCTTCTCTCCTCAGAGGCGAGTCTGCGATCTTCCCAGTACAGAAGTTTGGACAGAGCAGACTCCTAAGGTCTCCAGAATGCCCATCCCAGCCTCCTGGCCCCACCTTCCTGGTCCTTTCCTGCTGATGAATCTACTGTTGGGGGGACTACCAGGTGAGCATTGCTTTGGGTTAAAGTACTTTTTCCCTGCCCATTGAGCCATGGCCTGCCCCTGGACTTCCAGGGATTCCAGACAATGACAAGTGCTGCCAAGAAAGGCCAAGGATTAGGCCTTGACTGAGAGCAGAAAATCAGGGGGCTGAGCACTTTCTCTGTGGATCTGCAGCTGGCTACCAGAGGCATTGAACCACAGGAAGATTCAACCACCACTACAACAATTACTTACATTTTGATATTTCAATTGACAAAGCAGAGAAGAATTGTTATTTAAATCCTTACCAGTGCTGAGGCCCTAGGGCCAAGCAACATTCCCAAGGCCACAGACTGAGCTCAGAGACACCCTAACAGGGTTATGTGGCTCCAAGCCCAGCCCTCTCTCTTCATCACTGTGAGGAGGTGAAGTCTGTAATGGTGCTCACTTGAGATGGCCAGTGGTGCAGCGTGTCCTGGGAATGTTCAGCCACGGTTCTACCTAAGGGTGCTCCTCACTGTGTCCTCTGTTCCCCCATGCTCCTCCTTCCCCTGTGACCTGATTCTTACCACCTATTTCTCTGTGACCTCTTCCTCTTTAAGAAGTTCCACATTTGCTGCTTACTGGGTCCTATATTCCTTTCCTAGGGCTTCCATGACAAAGACTTGCCTGCTGGGCAGCTAAAACTACAGACATTTACTTCCTTGTAGTTAGGGAGGCTGAAGTCCAAGATCAAGGTGTCAGCAGGGTTAGTTTCTACTGAGGTCTCTCTCCTTGGATTGTAGAGGGCCATTTTCTCTCTGTGTCTTAACATATGATCTTACTGTGTGTGTGTGTCTGTGTCCTCATCTCCTCTTCTTTTGAGAATATCAGTCATGTTGGATTAAGGCCCACCCCAATGACCTCATTTAACTAAATTCCCTCTTAAAGACTCTGTCTCCCAAACTGTAACATTCAGAGGTGCTGGGGATTAGAGCTTCAACACGTGCATTTTGAGGAACACATTCAGCCCATAACAGGTACTACAACCTCCCTTGGTTCTCTTAACTTTCCCATGGATAATTTCTTTCCCCTTCCCCAAGACAGACAGGATTGGAGGCCCTTTCCTTGTGCAGCCTGGGAGAGCCCTGCTCACTGCATCCAGGCAAGTTGCGTGTCCTGATCCCTTCTCAGGCCATGGAGCCGACCCCAGAACCAGAGGGCTGGGCACAGCAGCCTCTCAGTTCCCTACTGGGCCCTACTGTGATGTCACCTAACAGGCCCTAGAGGGCAGGGGTCTCACTTTTCAAATTATTTTTCTCACACGTACACTGTACACAAATGATAGCAGTAAGAGTTTAACAATTGAGCTCTTCCTACCATGTAGACACAGTTATTAGCATTTTGCCCGTTTTAACTCCACTAATCCTCACAACATCCCTGTGTGAAAGCAACAACTATTATCCCCTATTTGCAAACAAGGAGTCAAGGAGAGGGAAGAACTTCTCCATTCATTGTCTTCTACCTCAGTCAGTGGAGCAGCTCGAATTCAAGTCCAGGTCAACCAGCTCCAGAGTTCATTCTTTTAGTCATGTTATGCTGCTAGCAGAAATATTAGAAAATGCGGGGAAGCAAACGTAGAATTAATTATTGCCTACCACACTATTTAGCAACAAATCTGATCATTTGAAGACACAAACAGGAGTGGTTGTTGCTTTTAATTTATAAGTAAAATTTGTAAAGAAGAATATGTTGCCACTGGCACCCCAAAACAACTTAGAGATGCTTGATTATGTGTCATTAATATGTGTATCACTTGAATCTCCTTTGAAGAGGTTGTTATCAATTTATGTCATCCTGTGCCCTTGAAGAAATGTGGATGTCATTATCGATATTGGAACAGGATCTACACCTTAGGATACAGTCTTGGTCGCACTCCAAAAGGCAACATAAAGCTGTACATAGCACAGCATGGGAAAGCCATCAGGGTAAAAAGTCATCTTAAATTAAAGTAGCCAATCAAAGTAGCAAATCAGTAAGGCATGAACAGTCACAGGGCTTCTCCCAGGAACTTTCCACCCCAATTTAGAATGATTCTATCCTCATTGCCGTTAGTGTTGAAAATGGTAGAGTAAGTCCTGCTGGTTGAGTTTTAAAGCATCACTCTAACATGGCCATGAAAAGTTCTTGTAGAGAGGCATATGAAGTGGAACGATTTATTCTATTCACAGGTCCTAGAGGGGGTGGGGCATGCCACACAGGAAGCCATATGGGTGGAGTTCCAGGGAGTAGCCTCAACCAAGCAGAAGCAAGAGAGATGGGCAGCAATTGCCTTTACTGGGAGTCATGATGGAGGACACAAAGAAAAAGCACGATGGGTTTTACTAGAGTGTTTCAGTGTCACTAGGTCACAGCACAGGAGGACAAGAAGAGGAATTGTGGCAGGGACCAGCATTGTCACACTGGTTACCTCATCATGTGTTTAGGGTGCTCACAGCTTGTTTGTGGGATGTTGAGGCATCAGGAAAATATGATTTTTTTAAATGTACACATAACTGGACACCTTTATTTCTTCATACAACTTTTAGTTGCCATGTAGCATCCTTTTATTTCCACCTGAAGCACTCCCTTTAGCATTTTTTGTAGGTAAGGTTTAGTGGTAATGGACTCTTTTTGCTTTTGTTTATCTAAGAATATCTGAATTCCTCCCTCATGTTTGAAGAACACTTGTCTTCCCAGGTATAGAATTCATGGTTGACAGGTTTTTCCCACTTTCAGCATTTTAAACATATCATCCCTCTGTCTTCTGGCCTCCAGTGCTTCTGAAAAGAACTCAGTTGATAAATCTTATTGAGGGTTCCTTGTATATAAGAAATCACTTCTCCCTTGCTCTTTTCAGAATTCTCTCTTTGTCTTTGGTTTTTCAAGAGTTGGAATATGATATGTATTATTGTGGATCTCTGAGCTTGTCCTTGAGTTAAATTTGCATTTCCTCAGCATCTTAATTTCTAGATTTATGAGTTATATCAAGTTTGCAACCATTTTGGCCATTATGTCTTCAAATAATCTTCTGCTCCTTTCTCTCTTCCCTTTTCATTCCCGCCGGGACTCTAATAAGGTTATTTTGATTCATTTGATTATGTCCCGCAATTCCCTTAGATTCTATTCTCTTTATTTCATTCCTTTTTTCATCCATACTTCAGTCTCAATAATTTCAGTTATCCCATCTTCCAGTTTTCTGATTTTTTTCTACCAGCTCACACCTGTTGGGGAAATCCCTAGTGAACTGTATTTATTGTACTTTCAAATCCTAAGTTTCCATTTGATTTGTTTTATAATTTTTATTTCTTGATATTATTTTGTTAATGCATGTATAATCCTGTGGTTTTAGTTTTTTATCCATTGTTTCCTTTACCACTTCAATGGCGTGATCTCGGCTCACCTCAACCTCTGCCTCCCAGGTTCAAGCAATTCTCTGGCCTCAGCCTCCCAAGTAGGGATTACAGGCATGCATCACCACGCCCGACTAATTTTGCATTTCATAGAAACGAGGGTTTCTCCATGTTGGACAGGATAGTCTCGAACTCCCGACCTCGGGTGCTCGGCTCACCTCTGCCTCCCGAAGTGCTGGATTACAGGCATGAGCCACCGTGCCCAAAACCACTTCAAACACTTTTAAGACAGTGGTTTTAACATCTGGATCTAGCATCAGGGCGGACACCATATGTAAGAAAGGTCCTTACAAGAAGGAGGAAGGAGATTAATTCCTAGAGAAGGACATGTGAGGATGCAAGCAAGAGGTTAGAGTGACGGGAAGATGTAACTGCAAAAAGGAACATGGGCAGCCTCTAGAATTTGGAAAGGCAAAAACCAGAGCCTCCAGAAGACACATAGCTTTACTGACAACTTTTTTAAAAATTGCGCATATGTGAAGCGTAAAACATGATGCTTTCATGTGCATGTATTTAGTGAAGCAATTGGAGACACCCAGCATCTCCTATAGTTACCCTGCACATGTGTGTATGTCAAGAGCACATAAAATATGCTTTTAACAAAAATACTGAATTCAACACAACATTTTTAATTGGAGGCCTCATATTGCACCTTCATTCTCTGGAATTCTTTATCAACCATCTGCAATTTGTATTTTTTGACCTACATCTCCCCATCACCTCCCCCAATTTTACCCCTAGTCACCACTGTTTTATTCTCTACCATTGTGTATTTTTCTTTCATCATTACTCCTTGGTTGTAACACAGTAGCATTATATTGGACTCCTGACCTCTGCAACTATAATATGATAAATTTCTTTTGTTTTATGACACTAAATTTTGGTAATTTGTCACATCAGCATTAGGAAATTAATGTAATCTGATTAAGCTCTGAGTGAGCAATCCCTAGGGGCTTAAAACATTGTTGTGTTTACATTTTAAGCTGAATGTTCAGTGTGGGTGAGGATTCTGCACGCTATGGTCATTCATGCATTCAGGCTGATGGAGCAAGCAAACACCGTCAGAGTCTCCTGGGTCTCTGTGGAAGGCAGAGGTTAATCCATAGGCGCTCTTGCAGTTGAATATACAGCCCACAAATTATATCCATCACTTCTGCTCACAACTCAGTGGTCTAAAGAAGTCATATGGCCTTGTATGATCGATGCAATGGTCCAGAAAGTGCAATACTCCATGTGGCCAGAGAGTGGAGGATCATATATCTGCCAAGGCCTGACACTTCCAAGGAGGTCTCAGGAGCTCCACTCAGGTCTTCAATCCAAAGTGCTCCCTTGAAATTGAACCTCTGTGCTTCCATGTCTTTACATGTAATACAGTCATATGTTACAGGCTTGTTGTGAGGGTTAAATAAGATAATATACAGAGTGTGTTGAGCTCAAGGCCTGCTCTTTGTGTGTACGCAGTCAATGAAAGTCATTGATAAACACTTGAGGAAACACAGAGGATCACGTAAGGATGAAAAAATGACTGGTTTGTGCTCCTTTTCAGGAGTGTTGGGTGAGGAGGAGCTGCAGGTGATTCAGCCTGAGAAGTCCGTGTCAGTCACAGCTGGAGAGTCGGCTACTCTGAACTGCACTGTGACCTCCCTGATCCCTGTGGGGCCCATCATGTGGTTCAGAGGAGCTGGACCAGGCCGGGAATTAATCTACAATCTGAAAGAAGGCCACTTTCCCCGGGTAACACCTGTTTCAGAGTCCACAAAGAGAAACAACCTGGACTTTTCCATCCGCATCAGTAACATCACCCCAGCAGATGCCGGCACCTACTACTGTGTGAAGTTCCGGAAAGGGAGCCCCGATGTGGAGTTGAAGTCTGGAGCAGGAACTGAGCTGTCTGTGCGTGGTGAGTACAGTGCGGACCTCATTCGTTCCCTGGTGTGACAATAAGTCAATAATTACAGTATCCATTCTTAGAGCAATAATCAGGTGTGGTGGTTGGTGCTCATTTTCATGATCTGATGTCACCCCTTCTCCAGATCACATGAGTTGAGGCTTGGAGATGTCATGGTAGTTGCTCGAGGGTCCACGGCTTATGTTTGATGGAAAAGACAGCATCCCCAGTCTGTGGCTCTACAGCTCTTGTGTTTGCAAAGCTGACCCAGCCCTTTGGTTCCACAGATGAGGGAACTGACAGATTGAGTGATTTCCCCAGGCACAGGTCTGGACTATGCCTTCTGCCTCCAGAGAAGGCTTCCCCCTGAGGGTGGCTGGGTCTCCTCTTTATGCAGCAGGCACTCACTGAGACCCCACTGTGCACCAGGCTCTGCCCTGGATGCTGTGAAAACAGCAGTGAATGAAACAGCCCAAAGCTCTTCCCCACCAAGCTTACATTCTCTTCCCTTCTAATGAGGAGAAATCCATCCAGGGCATGGAGAGTGTAAATCGTGTTTTTCTTTATTTAATCTTCAGAAACACCCCACGGGGAAGATTCCTGGGAGGCACATTCACTGTTGAATCTGATGGCCTGGTGGGAGGAGAGGCCAATAAGTTTGGGATTTGCTGTGGGTTCATTTGGGAAACCCTTGTGGGATTCGGGGACTGAGCCACACAGTCACCATGGGCTCCAAGCAGAGCTGCTTCATCTCAGAATGTCCCTCACCTCAGGAAAGAGGTCCCACAACTGGGTGACTTAGGCGTTCCCCATATAAGGCAGCAACAAGGCTTATTTGGGGTTTCCTGCTAGAGGCTCAAGAGCCTCGTCCTAGCTCCTGAATTCTGGAATGTCAGCACACGAAGGACCTTCAGACCATCCAACCCAACCCCCTTTACAGATGGGAGACTGAAGCCAAGACATGACGGGGGCCTTGTCCATGGTCACAGGGCCAATTACTGACAGAATTGGAGCCAGAGTCCATGTCTGAATCGAGGCAGTCTCCTTCCTTTCCCAGTATTAGACCTGTCTCCATAGAAGAGCCGGGTGCATCATAGGTGTTCAATAAAAGCTCCTCAAACAGAACCACAGGTCAGAGAGCCAGCATTTCTCTTTTCATCAGTTTCTCAAAGGTTCACAATGCACCTCACATGCAGACACTAAAGTCCGTTGGTGATTGGAAAACTTCTCCCAAACGTACACCCTATCTTTCTATATGGAGATTCCATATCAGGACATAAAGGCTTGCTCCATTGTTTAAAGCTGCAGAATACTCCAATTAACGGAAATATCAAATTTTATTTTACAGTCTTCTGTCAATGGATATGTAATTTATTCCCAACTTTGAGCTACTAGAGCAATCCTTCAGTGGATGACCGTATACATGTGTCACCCTCTTCAGATGGGAAATTCCAACTAGACGTGACTTTCCTAGGTCAGAGGATATGTGTGTTTTCATATTTGAGAATATTGCCTAATTTCCCTCCTAGATGATGTAGCAATCAAGGCTCCCCACAACCCTTGAACATAGGTGGGGAAGGTGGCTTTATCCTGATTGTGCAGGTATCACAGGCAAAGGCACGGAAGTTTCCACGTGGTGCCTCCCCAGCCCAGGCAATCACAGCCAGTGGCTCAGGTGTGACTCAGACTGGCTAACTCCTGGAAGGGTACTCACCCCTCTTAGCCATGCTGCCCGCCTAAATGATTCTCTTGATGAGACAGGAGGGAGGCAGAGGGAGGCCAGAGACCAGCAGTTGTGCCAGAGTCTCCTTAAAACCAGTGCTATGGGGGAGGAGCTATTTGTTGCCTCCTTTAAAGATGAAGACACTGAGGCTCAGAGAGGAGACCTGAGTGGCGAGCAGGCTGGGGAGCCAAGGTTCATCCCCACCAGACAGACTTACAGCCCCTGTCACTGCAGCACTCACTCAGCTTTACTTTTTAAAATGTGGAGTAATGCTCCAACCTTCTCTTTCCAAACACTTGCATTATTCAGTTATACAGCAAAAACTATCAAAAGCAAAACAGACTGAAATATTGGTGAAAAGAATAAAAATATGGGATAATTCACAAATACCTAAAGAGAGACCTCTGTATATCTGTTAATTCCGGGTTAAAGATAGATCTGTGTTTATTTTTGAGAAGCATCTTCTGTGTTTGATCCAAAGCAAAACTGCTTCCATTGCCCCATTTAATCCTGGCTACATCCCAGGAAGTAGAAATGCTGTCCTCCTATTTTGCAGATGAGGAACTGGGTGTGCCAGGCCACCTGTCTCCTGAGCTGAGCAGCCTGGCTGCAGCTCTCACGGTGGTGCCACTTTGCCATTTTTCCCGGCATTGGCTCTATAAACGCCCTCTCTGAGGTTGGTGAGCTCTCCGGGGGAGGCTGGCTAGGACCAGTTATTAACATGGAGGGAGACCAGTCATTAATTTTGTTCCTATACCCAGATTGGTGGAAGTCACCCTGTGTGAAGAGGACTGTGAACTCAGGCCTGGACTTCCCTCTGGGCCCTGCCCCTACTCACTGTCTGACCATGGGCTGTTTCTCACCTCTCAGAGCTGTTGTGGCCTGAGCTGTAGAAGGAGAATAAGGAGACTGCCCTCCTGACATTATTAGAAAGATTAAAAATTAATGTCCATGAAGGTCCTTAACATATCGCACGCTTATCGTTAGTGATGGTCATCTCAGTCATGTCTCCTGATTATCGATGCTCCTTTTGCAGCCAAACCCTCTGCCCCTGTGGTATCAGGCCCCACAGCGAGGGCCACAGCTGAGCACACAGTGAGCTTCACCTGCGAGTCCCACGGCTTCTCTCCCAAAGACATCACCCTGAAATGGTTCAAAAATGGGAATGAGCTCTCAGACTTCCAGACCAGTGTGGACCCCGCAGGAAAGAGCGTGTCCTACAGCATCCGCAGCACAGCCAGGGTGGTGCTGACCCGCAGAGACGTTCACTCTCAAGTCATCTGCGAGGTGGCCCATGTCACCTTGCAGGGGGACCCTCTTCGTGGGACTGCCAACTTGTCTGAGGCCATCCGAGGTAGAGGACCCTCACACCCAGCCTGAGCCCACACCTGGCTGCCAAGTCCACTCCTAACTCCCCAGGCTATTGCTCCAGATCTTGAATGGCCTGGAATCTAATTCCTGTGTTGTCCACCTTCCATGCACCTAGGTATGCTGGTCACTTACCATCATTTAAATGGCAGCTGTCAGGGGACCAGAAACCATGTGCCAAGCTCTATGCTAGAGAGTTTCATTTATTTCACCAAGAGCAACTACAATTAGTGAGCACCTACTGGGAGCCAAATCCCTATGTGCTTGACGATTTCACTGATTTTGCTACTGTTCTTACACTCCAACTGCATGCAAGGGGTTGTGCTTGTAGATATCACTCATTCTTAGCCTAGTAGGAGCTACCAGTCCTTCAGCACCTACTGTGTGCCAGGCACTGTGCTTAGTAATTTCATTCATATGCAAAGAGCACCCTCAATGTCTGCGCACATGCTGCCTGCCTAGCACTGTCCTGGTGATGCCCTCACTGTGGTGGTGGGAGCTACATTATGGAGCCCTCCCTGTGATCTGTCTGTGCCACAATGTCAGAGCTTCTGCCCTGTGCTGTTTCAGTTCCACCCACCTTGGAGGTTTTCCAACGGCCCATGAGGGCAGAGAACCAGGCGAACGTCACCTGCCAAGTGAGGAAATTCTACCCCCAGAGACTACTGCTGACCTGGCTGGAGAATGGAAATGTATATCAGACAGAAACAGCTTCGACCCTCACAGAGAACAAGGATGGTACCTACAACTGGACGAGCTGGCTCCTGGTGAACACCTGTGCCCACAGGGATGGTGTGGTGCTCACCTGCCAGGTGGAACATGATGGGCAGCCAGCAGTCAGCAAAAGCCATACCCTGGAGATCTCAGCCCACCAGAAAGAACAGTGCTCGGATACCACTTCTGGTAAGGTTACTTCAAATTTTTAAATTTTATCTTTTTCTTTCATGTTAAAATTAATATTTATGTTTGTTATAAAATAAGATAAGCTAGAAGCCTATAAATATAAAGTAGAATTTTAAAGTCAGCATCATTCTTCCAAATCTCACCCTCTAAGAGTCATCACTATTAAGAGTTTGAGGTACAACCTGACAGATTTTTTTGACATAAATGCATATTGAATGAGGAAGAAAGGAGGCAAAGGAATCATGTGTTCGTCGCATTCTGCATCTTGCTTTTTACCCCTGACAGTTATTACATTCCCGTTTCTTATCAGCCACCCTGTCTCCTTCCTACTCCTTCTGACCTCTGCCTTGTCTGTTCCTTCCTGAACTTTTCCATTCATATCTGTGACCTGCCCCCAGCAGACTCCCACATCTGCTGTATGAATTTCAGAAAGACATGTGGAATCTAAACCCGGACCAGGCCCCCAGGTGACCATAAGTGGTAAAAGCATGGGCTTCATTTGGGTCCTGATGATGATATTTGACCAATAACAATCACAACAGCTCTCTGCAGATTTATTATGTGCAAATTTCTGTTCATCTATGATCTCCTTTCCTGCTTCAACCATCCAGTGAGTCTGGAGTTTTACAGAAGGGGAAACCAGGACTTGGGAAGCAATAGGGGATATTGTTGAAGACAATTAGATCAAGGCATTAGACCAGATGACTGGTCCAAACTAATCAAGGTAAGTCTGAGGTCCTGAGGACAGGGTCACCACCAGCCTATAATGCAAATTTATGCTAGTTTGAGAAATGTTCCCTTTCTGCTGGGACACAAAATGTCCCAAGGATGTGAATTTGGCCAGTGTTCCCTCATCTATGACCAAAATAGATCTTATTTCCCTCTCATATAATACTAGGAGGGGTCTCTATTCCAGAAGACTTGTAGAAGGCCCAGGTTCCTTCCCACATACTCTATGGCATTGACTTTATCTACTGGGTCAATGCCGGGTCGCTGATTTGTCCATGTCCCTGCCTGCTGGAAGAGAGAAGACAGGAAGTAGAGGACAACAATGTCCTCTATAATCAGAGATGTGTGGAAGGTACATAGTCACGTCCACTGCTCACCCAGTTATGTGTGCCCATGCAGTTGCAAGAGGAGTCCACAATTGTGTGATCTGATAATTGAGGACATTTTTTACAAAAACAATATCATTATAAACTTAATAAAATGTAAAATTTTTATGCCATTAAATTTCATAAAATTGCTAAAATAATTCTCTCACATCACCTAAAATGTAGCATACATTCATATTTCCCCAAATTTCTTTTGTAACCATTTTTCTGTGCACCAAATTTGGTTTTAATTTATCTTTAAATGTTTGGTAGTATTTTTCTATGAAGTATCTGTACCTCAAGAATATTTTGGGGTACTTTAAAATTATGAATTGACTTTCCTCAATAGTTTAGGGCTATTCACATTATTCATTTCATATTGGGTGACATCTGGCAACTTGTGCTTTTCAAAGAGTTTTTGGTCCATTTTATCTATGTCATCATATTTCTGTGTCTAGAGTTGTTTATAATATCCCTTACGATCCTTTTGATGTCTGCAGGGTCTGTAGTGATAGCCCTCGTTTCATCCTGATATTTAAAATGTGCCATTTCTTTTTTCTTATTCATCAACCTTGCTATAATTTTTCCTATTTTATTGATCCTTCCAAAGGATCAACTGCTTCAGTTGGTTTTTGTATTGTTTTTATATTTTAATTTCACTAATTTTCTGCTCTCTTCTCTTTTTATTAATTCTTATCTCTGGCTTGTTTTGGGTTTATTTTGCTCTACTTCTTGTAGTTTCTTGAAGTGGGGATTTATATTATTAAATAGACACGTTTTCTCTTTTCTGTGTCTTTTTTTTTGGTCATGTTCTATGGCTGGGAGCTCATACTGAGGGGATGGGTCCCAGGTGCCTGGCTTCATGGCTGTTCCTCAGCCCTCAGGTCCCTAGCCAGTCTGCCTTCCTTTTTCACCTTGGAAGTTCTCCTATGCCTGCGCCTCATATTTCCAGAGTTCTTAGTCCTGCTTCTTGAGGAGGAGCAGGAAGAGATGAATCTGCACCATCTGTCTGAAGCTGAATTTGCTTTTTAGACTTCCATCCACTCACTGGAGCTCCGACCAGGGCTGCCATTTTTGGGTGCTTTCAGTGTGCTGGATGTAGTATCCTTGCTCATGTGCTATGGCTGGAAATGCATGTTAAGTTGTCTAGGCAGGTACACAACATGCAAGATGCCTTATGTGATGTGCTGCACCAGCAGCATGGCAGCCTAGTGAGATTGTGCACTAGGGTGTGGTGAAGGTTCTCTTTTGACCCACAGTCATTTTGCAGTTTGGCATTCTTTGTTCAAGTAATACTCAGAGCCAGGTTTGTGCAAAACTTACTTTTCCTTTTTTGCTTTTTCTTTTGGTTTGGGGAGGTTAGTTATAATTAGTTATGCTGCTGCAACTGTCTCCAGAAATCCAGAAGATGACTGATGATCATAAGTTCTTTGACCCAAACATTCCCTCCCACATCTCAGGGTCCCGCAACTTCCCCATCAGGGCCCTAGCCCAGCACAGCAGCCTGTTGAAGCTGAGATTCATCCACCTCTGTGGTTCTGCTACTCTTATAATGATCCGGAACCCAATCTTCTATTCTTTCTGCCCTCTGGCTCCAGGAGATAACAATCTACACTGCTGCCAAGAAGTCCTCTGGTTTTCACACTAAGCCTTAATTCACAATAAGTTACTCTTAGCTTCTCATCATCTTTCCCCAAAGAATTGGTGCCCAGCAACAGTCATCAGACACCTTAGTCCTCATAACTACCATTTCCCAATCCAGTTTCAAATGGCTGATGCCAAGGAATTTCCTTCCTACTTCACTGCCAGCGAAAGTTGTATTAATTGCACCATAGCTGCAAGCCAGGGCCAGTCCAGCTCCACTCACTACCAGCCCTGGGGTCCTCATTGCCAGCTAATCTTGATGAGTGGTCAATTTCCAAACTTGCATTTTACAGTCTACTTTTCAGACCATTTCCACTGTCAGTTTTGCTAGGAGGTCAACTGGAGGTGGATACAGGAATTCAGGAAGCATGTTAGAGTGCTGTCAGGGTCAATATGCCTGAGGGAGTGAGGCAGAAGTGTAGGAGAGGGACGTGCTGAGCCACAGTATAGGCAGGACAAAGACCCAGCTGATTCTTCAGAGAAGCCAAGGGCTGAGAGAGTCCCTTAGAGTTGCGTTAATTGAGGAGAGCGGCATGGCCTTCCTATTTTCAATTCAACCAGTCTTTCTATGGGCTGCCCTGTAGAAGGAGGAATGAACTTGGAGAGTACAACTCTCCTCAAGGGAGACAAATTCCAGAAAGCCACCCAGCTGAGAACTGCTGGCCTCCAACATTCCAGCCACAGATGCTGAGATCTCCATTCCTTCCTTAAGGACCTATCAGCACCATTTTATTTCCCAGAAAACATACATGAAAACAGAAGTAAACATAACTTCATTTGTTTGCTTTTAATAGCAAAAAAATGCTCATTGTAAAAATGCAAAGAATCCAAATGTGTGCTCCCCCAGATCTGACTGTCTGTCCAACAGAGAGATTTCAGATGGCACCCGCTCTGGGATCGAGGTGAGCTTGATGTCTGAGTCCCTTCCAAGCATGAGAGTCATGCTTTGACTTACCAGGGTGTTTTCTATCCAGCACAGTATATTAGTGCCAGCCCCTCAAGGGCCTCCCCAGCTCTCAAAAACACGGGGTCCACCCTCACTGTGGGGGCTAAACAGGGCAGCCTGCAAATCTTTCACTCTGAAGCCATCCTCATATAAACAAAAAGCATGTTAGTTGCTTGCTGCATGTAGAATCCAATCAAGGAGAGCGAGGTCTGATACAAAAAAAAGTGAATTTATTCCAAAGCTAGGTTGGGGAAGGGACACAAAGTGTCCTGCCTTTAAATGTGCCGCTTCCCCTTTGGAGCACAAAGCAGACACTTTCATAAGGTAATGGGGATGGGACCAAGGGCAGGGGTCCCTCTGCTAGTGCCTGGTGACTTAGCTACCCGACAGTTGAGTTGGCGCCATCCTGGGCAGAAGTCAGTTGTAAAAGTGGCCAAGTGGGCATGCTTTCCATATGCCCTCCTGGTGGATGAAAGTCTGGAAGCTACCCCTGGAGGTGAAGTTTCCGTGGTGGGTATGCTTTGGTGTGCCAACTTTCCAGTAGAGATCTGTCTTGGAGCACACAGAAGAACTTGCCCTGCAGGGAATATCTGGTGAGGGGGAGGTGAAAGGTTATATTTGCATTTCTGAAGGGCTAAGTAGGAAACTGGGAGCAGGGGGAAATGGGAAAGAAAACAAAGAAAATAAACTACGTCTTAGCAAACTGGTGGTACTCGGTTATTCTCATGACCCCTACCTGCCCTTTCATAATTGTTCCTATGACCCTGCAAAATTGGACTTGTCTTGTTCAAAAGGACACAGTCTCAGGAATCATCCAAAGGGACATAATCATGGGCTTCCCTAAGTTTGGATGCAAGTAACCTTGTGACCCTCCCTAAATTCTCTGGACCTCAATTTCCCCATCAGAATGGAATAATAAACCCTGCCCTACAGGCTTGTGAGGATCAAGTGAGGGACTCAGGTGCCACACATGAATACATGAGTACACATTCTGTCCACTTCGTCCCTCCGGGAGGACAGCCCGGCAGCCTGGGACAGGGTAAGGGAATGAGGAACCTCTTTCCCTGGCTTCTGCCTTATGTTGCAGCTAAGGCAGCCAGGGTAAGATGCAGCCTCCAAAGATTTGGAGCAGTGACAGTCCCAGGTAGCCTCAGATGGGGTAAGTGGGGTCCTCTGGGATGGCATCCTGGGTAGCCCCTTCCTAACTTCTCCTGTTTCCTGATTTCCAGGCCCAGTGCTGGCTCCCACTGCTCCACTTCTCATAGCTGTCCTCCTGGGCCCCAAGGTGCTGCTGGTGGTTGGTGTCTCTGTCATCTATGTCTACTGGAAGCAGAAGGCCTGACTGTAAGTGTGGGGGATGGAGGCCTGACCAAGGGCTGCACCAAAAGGGCAGGGCCAGCAGGAGGGTCCAGCCCACATATCATGCAGCATCAGGGTTAGTGGAGCTTAGAGAAGGTGACCGAGCTCCCTCCGCATCCTCAGAACGCTCAGGGAACCCTCTAAGAGGCTCCCAACCCCCAGTAAGTATGTGGGTGCTTGAGGAGGCATAAGCCAGAGTGTCCAAAGGTTTTTACAGCACCCCAGGGGTCCCATGAGGAGGTGAGAAGAGGAACCTGAATCAGGGGCTACTGAGTGGGTGTCCCTTGCAGGCCATCTCTAGATTATTTGATGCTGAACTCCATGGGCCCAAAGGAATCCCCACTGTCAAGTCATGTTGAGAAACCACAGATGGGCAGCTCTTAGGGCTGTACCCATTCTGACCCTCTTTGTGCCTGAGTGGAAGCAATGAGGGAAGGGACACCAGGACTCAGGAAGAGGGCTGAGCCGGCAGAGTCCTATCTCAGGGCTGCCTGTCCACTTGCAACAGGCATCCCAGAAGGAGACCAGCACCGGGAATATAACAGCCTCCCAGGAAATGTTTCTTAAATGATGAGCAGATGATTAAATATGGACATGTTATCCACAGCTCCTTCCCTCCTCCCCTGCCGCATGGGACCCCCAGTCTCTGCTGCCTCCTTCCTTCCTTGAAGGGCTCTGACTGAGAGAAGGGGCTGGTGAGAAGCTTCCCCAGACTCAGCTCCAAACGCCTCCCCTCCCAGGACATCTTACTGCCCACAGGTTCCTGTTGCTCCTTTGCAGAGTCCTTGATTCTCCAGAGCAGTCTTCATTCATGGTCCTGAGCAGAAGCCATGGCATGGGGCTCTGGGGAGTGACTCATGACACCTCCCTAGGATGTGGGAAACACGCCAAATCTAAACCCATCAGGACACCTCTCCTCCATCGTCTTGGACTGTCCATAAGCCACAAACTGCAGTTCAGATTCTCAAGAGTTATTCTGCCTTCTGGATTCCTGCCTACCCAATTACCCAGCCTTGTTGAGATTCTCTATTGCCTCCTGAATACAAATTAACACTCATCCTGGTTTTAAGGAGAAAAAATGATTCTCCTTCCTCTTTGTTTAAACATATGATATAGTTTGGATATTTTTCTCCTACAAATCTCGATGTGAAATTTCATCCCCTATGTGGGAGGTGGGGTCAGGTGGGAGGTGTTTGGGTCATGGGGATGGAATCACCATGAATGACTTGGTGCTATCTTGGTCTATTAGTACCCACAAGATCTGACTGTTTAAAAGTGCCTAGCAGCTCCCTCTTCTCTCTTTCTCTTCCTCTCTCCCCATGTTATGCCAACTTCACTTCACTGTCCACTGTGAGTAGAAGCACTCTGAGGCCCTCCTCAGCAGCAGATGCAAGTACCATGCTTCTTGTACAGTCTGCAGAACCAAAAGCCAAATAAACCTCTTCTTTATAAATTATCCAGCGTCAGGTATTCTTTTATAGCAACACACATGGACAAAGACAGTGTGCTACTCCTCACACCTAGAAAGAAAGCAGCTCTCCCTCCTCTCTCTGTGATGGAAACACTAGTTTTTCTATTATCCTGCAACCTTCCTAAATCTGTTGCTCATGGTAAAAATACCGTGACAGTCCTAAAGCCATGGAGTCCTCGATTTCTTCTTTGTTTATACCTCATACTCAGTTCTGCTTCAAAATGCTTACGTCCCCTGGTGAGATTGTAAGTGTTTGACAATTGACTCTTTGAAAGAAAAAAGAAGGCTGAATTGTAGTGTTTGTCAATTTCTGTGGGGTGAATACTCCCAACATGGCCCATTTCAAGCTTCTAACACTTTAAAAACTAGAATACACAATTCCTGAAAATTTAACAGTTGACTCTCCTGAGCCAGTCCCAGCCTGCTCCGGCATACAAAGGAGTTGTACCCATAACCTGCACACCTCTCACCTCCACTACTCCTGCATGGTCCCAGCCAGCATCATCTCCTCCTGGACCACTTACAGAGCTTCTGCTGGATTGCGTTTTTCAGCCTCAGTTATTGTTTGTTTTTCTTTTTTTAATTTATTTTTTATTTTTATTTATTTATTTATTTATTTAATTTTTTTTTTTTTTTTTTTTTGAGACGGAGTCTTGCTCTGCCGCCCAGGCTGGAGTGCAGTGGCCGGATCTCAGCTCACTGCAAGCTCCGCCTCCCAGGTTTACGCCATTCTCCTGCCTCAGCCTCCCCAGTAGCTGGGACTACAGGCGCCCGCCACCTCTGTTTTTTAGTAGAGATGGGGTTTCACCATGTTTGCCAGGATGGTCTTGGTCTCCTGACCTCATGATCTGCCCATCTCGGCCTCCCAAAGTGCTGGGATTACAGGCTTGAGCCACCGCGCCCGGCCAGCCTGTTATTTTTTGGAAAAGTCAAATCCTGTCATTCCTCGGCTTCTTCCCTGCGACAGCTGCATGGCTCACTCTCTTCTGTCCTTCAGTTTATTAAAGGCAACTTCTGTAAACCACCCTACATAAAACATCCATTTTCCTCTCCACCCTAGCATTTCCAATGTCTCTTAACTTGATTAGCTTTTCTCCTTAACACTGTATTATGTTATTACATATATTATACTAAATACAGGGCAGTCCTTACTTTGCATGGCAGTGCAAGATTATAAAAATGACTGAAAACACTGAGACCCTGGAAAGCAACTCTACATCCAAAGGGGAAAATAATGACTCCTCTGTGATCCTCATAATATTTATCAAAATATTAGAAAATATAATGCGTCAGTTGCAAATGTAGACAGAAGGGAAAAAATTTAGTTCCTGGTAATTCAAAGGATTAGAAACATTGAGGATTAAATTATTATTTCTTTGTAAAACATAGCAAGGATAGTTGGAACAGTGCTTGTCTTCTTGTGTATTTCTGATGTGGAACAAGCGTAAGATGATGAAAACACTGGTATATTTTGAAACGGTCCCCTTTCCCCTTCCTCTTCAGGAAGCACTACTGAATATTTCTCTCATACTCACTGTGAGGACCAATCAAGCTGCTGTGGGTAAAATTCGCAGAAGTGTGGGAGCTCCCATGACTGGGTTCTCCTGAGTTTTTAACTCAGACTGGTCCCTCACTGAACTTACAACAATTCACCATTCACGGTGCAGGTTTTCTGACTCCAGCACTCGTTCCCATGGAGGTTTCCAATTCAGGAAGTTGTAATTCTCCGTATTACCCTGTCTGTCTCTCTAATTTTGCCCTGTGACCTCATTTCTCCGACAGATCTAAGAGGAGTTGTTGTTTTTTGATTTGCTCAGCTTGTTACTTGATGTTGGTTTGAGAGACTTTTTGTAGGGGTCACCCAGGAGATTTGGTTCCATCCCCAAAGGCTTCCGTAGCCACAAGCCCTCAAATGTGCCACACCTGGAATTAAGGTCTCTGAAGCTGCAAGCTCAGTCCTTGGCTACAGAACCCTATAAGTCTGAGCTCTCAAATTAGGAAGGGTCATGGGACCCCCGGCATGAGATGAGAGTCTCTGGGATATAGAGCAGGCTCTGTGGCAGTCAACCTCTCTCCAGTACTGTCCAAGGCTCCCAGGTCTGGGAACCCCAAGCACAGACGTCAGCAACTTCCCAGCAGTGGCAACTGTGTTCATTTCCTCTTTCACAATGGAGGATGGCCCCAGTCTCATGGCCCCTTCCTCCCACAGCAACTTCCCTCCTGGGGCATCATGGCAAGGTGGGGCTTCTCCTCCCCTGCAGAGCACAGAGTCTGAGGTCTCTCCATGACAATCATTCAGACAGATATCCCCAGCCCTGTGTCCCAGCTCGCCTGGACAGGCCCTGCCACCTCCTCTGCTCGTAGGACTCACAGTTGTGTGCAGCCTGCTCTACATAGGTGTATTTCTATGTGATGTCTCCTCTCCCTCTCAGTCCATCTCCCCCGTTCCCCTAGATTTCCACTTGGGAGCATTTTCTCGTCTCTTATCCCAGCATGAGGCAAGATTTGGAGCACTTTTTCTATGAGCATCTATGTAGGCCCTAATTAGGATGCACCTTGCCCTAGTCATAGTGATTCCCCCAGAGGCCATGGCTGCACCATGACCCTGGTGCTGAGCACACGACCTCAGCACCCATGATTCTAGGGCTAAGCACATGACCTCAGCTCACCACCATGGTACCCCCACCTCCCCTAGACACTGGCCGAGGTTGTCACACTGCATCATAAATCCTTGAGGGCAGAGGATCTGTTTTTTAAAATTGTTACTATTACTAAAACTCTACCTAATAACAATAATGTCTAACTAATAGCTATAATAATAATAGTAAAACTGAATATCTAGGTTTGGGGACACAGTCAGGTATTATTAGGCACTTTGCATATATTAGTTCATTTAATTCCCATAACAATCTTATGAGGTTGGTGTGATTATTATGTCCATTTTACAGCTGAGGAAACTCAAGAAACAGAGAAGTTAATAGTATCCGCAGGATCACACACTTGGGAGCTGGTAGAGCTTGATTTCAGATTAGGAAGTTTTAATTCCTAAGCCCACCGTCTTAATCTTTAGTCTTCTGGAGGAAGCATCCATGGGCTCCCAGTTCCTCATGTGTCCCAAAGTCTTCCCTGGTCATCTGCACCTAATGTCGTGAGTGGGAGTGAAATATGGTAGATGAAGGGGGAATTTTAGCTCATGGATTCCAGGCTCCCAGTTCTTTCAAATATTCAAATTTTATCCATGCTGTACCAAGTCAACCTAAAGTTGAAACTGAATTCTACATGTGATTTCCACGAAAATTTTTTACTTGAATAAGCATCTATGGATCTAGCATATCTTTATTGAAGGATTAGAGTTCCTTGAGAACTCCTTGACAGTTCCTTCCTTGGGAAGGCAACTTGGTGCTCCAAGCACAGATCCTGCCATCTTCCTGACACTATTGCATCAATTTAAAAAAATTGTTTGTTTGTTTTTTTTTAAGACGGAGTTTTGCTCTTGTTGCCCAGGCTGGAGTGCAATGGCGCAATCTTGGCTCACTGCAACCTCCACCTCCTGGGTTCAAGTGATTCTCCTGCCTCAGCCTCCGAGTAGCTGGGATTACAGGCATGCAGCACCGTGCCCGGCTAATTTTGTATTTTTAGTAGAGCCACGGTTTCTCCATGTTGGTCAGGCTGATCTTGAACTCCCAACCTCAGGTGACCCACCCGCCTCGGCCTCCCAAAGTGCTGGGGTTACAGGCGTGAGCCACTGCACCTGGCCTATTGTATCAATTTTGGAGTCCCATATTCCAAACTATGATTTTTGGAGGCATGAAACTTTATGTCTCACGCCTTCCAAGCCAATTGCTATTTTCATGGAAGGAAATATTCCTCTTTCAACCACTGGTGTGTTTTACCTTAAATTATGTATCTTTAGATATTAATATTTCTGGGTTTTTCTTTCTTTTTTGCTTTGTAAACAGTAGACTTTTATACAAATATAAAGTTTCGCACCTTCAAAGTTACCACTCCAATAAAGACATCTGTTAAAATCAGCAAAACATCTTGAAATATATTTTAACAATGTACAAATGTATTCACAACATAATCTCCTGATTAAGAGACTCCACTAAGTTTATAGTACCTACAGCACAATTTACAGATGCCTACAATAGTTTCTAGGCTGGTTTGGTTTATAATTAAATCTACTGCTTTAAGAAATACCATTAATATAAATGCATAATCTATAACGTTCTGATTATAGTAAGAAAAAATATAGATTCATGAAACAAAATGTCTTTACCCATTATGTGAAGTATGTAAATGATTATTCTCATTAAAATATAAGAATAATGTGTTTTTAGTAATAAAAGATAAATTTCATTAGGTCAAAGAGCATTAAAGAGCTCCAGGAGGTTCCAGAGTAAAATCTGGTTACCCTCATAAAATAAATAGAACAGCACAATTTCTGGGTATTTCTTAAACACAAACTATGATAATTTCATTTATATTAATTGGGCCTTAAGTAAATGACTTCTTACAAATGAAAATAAACAAAACTTTAGAAACTAGGTAATACCAATTCACTAAATTTGGTTTTTACTCATTTGTGTATGTCTAAGACATTTTACCGTGAAGTATATATTAAAAATCAACAATTATTTCTAATTTACACATAAGCCATTGTGCTCACTCATACCATGGAAACAAAACTTGCTTCTGAAAACAATCTACAGAAATAATATGTAAACACATAAAAGTTTTGAGATACACTAAGAACATCCTATGTTCTATGGATCAAACAGCAAAGGCCTTCATTACGTATATCAATAAACACACTTTGGTTAATTTGGGATATATTGATATTACATGACCTTGTGCATACCTCTGTATACCATTAAATAAATTGGGACGTTTGTAGTGACAACACACTTTCTAGCCCCCAGTGCTGGAAAGAAAATAAAAACTTAATATGAAAACTACTTTCATTTGTTTCAAATAAAGTTATC